CCCCCCCCCCACCCACACCCCCAGCAGAGTAATAATCCTAAAGTTAATTTAACCAGCAGTTTCAGGTTGTTGTCTGACTTAAGCAACAAGCGCTCCACTCCTCAGGTGTGGTTTCTGATGGAGGTCAACCAACAGTCACGGCTCAGTTCTTCTTGGTGACCTTCTGAACCCTCGTTCGTGAGTCTAGCTGTACATGCTTGATGATGTAGAGCTGAAGTCATCTGGAGAAATGCTTACAAGAACTGTGACACATTTTTGCTGTGACCACAACTATAAAATGAGTCAGTCAGCTCTGCAGGCTGTGGAGGATGTAGAGTCTCTTGGGATGTGAGCATGTGGCTGTAACATAACCACAGAGTTAGAGGTCAAAATGCCTCAAACATGATTTTTTTTTTTCAGAGTCTTTTGGCTGCAGCTGGTTTAATAATGACCTGTACATGATAGGTAGTTTGTGTTAGGTGACCGAGGTGAAGTTGCCATTTTAGTTCTTATTTGTCTGCGGCCTTTGACACAGTCGATTGCTCTATTTTAATGGATCGGCTAGAAAGGTTGGGAAAATCCGGTGTTGCACTAAACTGGTTTTCTTCTTATCCAACTGGAATTTTTTTGCATCCATTGATGTGCTCCTTTAACTTGTGGGGTGCCTCATGGGTCGATTCCTGGCCCCGTTTTATTTTCTCCGTATATGCTCCATAGGGCACTTGATCCAGCAATGTGTTTGTGTGCTTTATCATTGCTACGCTGATGATGCACAACTCTACTTATCCATTAGGCCCGGTGACCTCTCAAATTGAACTACTCTGCACAAGTATCTGGCTGAGATTAGTAATTGGATGTCTCAAAATGTTCTTCAATTAAATCACAGTAAAACTGAAGAACTGTTTTTTGCCCCAGACCAGGTCTCTGCAAACATTCTCAAACACCTAGGGTCAACTATTACAATGTCTTTTGCTTTGAGGGTTACTTTACATCAAGACAGTTATTCAGTCTTGCTATTTTCACCTGAGCAATATTGCAAAAATACACCCAAACCTCCTAACAGTTGGAAATGGTCATCCATTCATTTGTGTCCTCCCACTTAGACTACTGTAATGCTCTTTATTCCTGTCTTAAGCATTAGGACATTTTCACTACTTTCTAATATTTGACAGGCCAAATTATTAATTGAGAATACAAACCAAACGATTAATAGATAATGAAAATTATCGTTGGTTGCAGGCTTAATTGTAAATCCACCAGTCTTAGAAAATAACTACATAAATGTACTGAAGTACTGTGCTTAAGTACAAGTTTGTACTAACTTTACTTGAGAATTTCTTGTTCGCGATGTACTCCAACTACACTATATATCAGAGGTTATTATTCTACATTTTACCCCACTTCATTTTTCTGAAAGCTGCAGTTACTAATTACTTTTCTGTTTAAGCTATAAAAATGGTACTCTACTACTCTCATTTGAAGATTTAATCTACCTCTGAATGTTACTGCTGCACACAATGAGACACAACACATGGAAGTCCAGGGAGGCTTTCTGCACATCAGGTTCCATTACCGTAGATAACAGTAGAACATATATTTGACACCTCACTTGGATGTCAGTGGTCAGACCATTACTATATATTTGTTTATTGCACTTACAGAATCAGTTGGTTTGTCAGCTGCTTGGCTTGATGTCACAATATGCATTACCTGGTGGTGTTTGTCATTGAAGCTGCCACAGTCTCCTACACATTAATTTTACTACTTTAGTATTGTTTCAGTGTTGAGAGAGGAGCCAGTTTGAATATGACAGTTACCACAAATGAGTCATTTTAGGCTCGGGGTGGTTCCTAATGGACACTGACATGGAAGAAAGATTGTTATCATTTTATCTATCAAATATCTGTAGACTATTTTCTTGTTACTCTATCTTGGTCGTATCTGGTATTGTTTCATTCATCCTATAGGCTGACTTGTGTTGTAAAATTGTTTCATTAGAAGTTGGTTTTCAGTGTGATGTCTCAATATTCATTACTTAATGCATAACCTTGGGGTGTTTATACACAAGTGCCTCCTAACCAAAGCCAGGAACCTGCAGAGGAAACTACACACTATTAAAACACTAGAACAGTTTCTACACTCAGCCTGCTATTGGTGTTAACTGTGTCACATCTTCAGGCTAATTCCTTGGTTATCATCTGAGAAGTGCACAGCTTTAATTGTTCAGCTGCCACAAAAAGAGATGAATCTTTTCATTGTGTTCACAGAGGTAGACGCGAAGCAAAAAGCTAAACCACCGTCAACTTCTTTCTCACAGAAGTGTTTGTTTGTTCTCTGGAAGTCGCACACGTACACAGGCGCAAAACAATTCAATGGAAGCACTCTGTAAACACATCCTGCTCTTCACGCACTGCCTGTTCATGCACCAAAAGTTACTGAGTAATTCTCCTTCTTGCAATTAAGTTGCATCAGCACTCTAACCCATAGGAATTTCCCACTTTCGTTTTATGAGAAGAAGAAAGCCACAAAGTTCTTTCACAAGTCAAACCTTTTACTGTATTAGCTGAATCCGCCTCTCCTGCAAGTAACCTGTCTATGATTACTTTAGTTTATTTTATTCCAAAATCAAATATTTTTTAAACATTTGCATGACTCTCAAGTGGTGTCTCTTAATATTACCTCCACATTACAATATTTCAAAGTTTAAGCAGTGGTCTATATTTAATAAATTATGAAAAATGTGTTGCCCTGAAAACCAACTAACCAATGATCTCTGATGTTTTTCTGTGTGCAGGTCAGTGTGGAATTCTAGAGTTTTGGAACTCAGATTTAGACGTTTGTGTGCCGTGTGCATCATGCAAGCAGTACCCAAAGACCCCGTCATGCAACACATGTAAGACATTGAATCAGTTTATGTCAATGACTTCCTGCCATGATATCATTTCTTTCACTGGTTGCAGTTCAAACTCTTTCTGTACAACCAATAGGTATATCTGTGGATGAGACACCTGACGTGTGGAAACTAGCAGCCATCACCAGCTTCTCTGTGCTGGCTGTTGTGCTGGTTGGTGCTGCGCTCATCATCGGGGTCATGGTGCATCGACGCAAGTCACACAAACGGCCTCTGCGTGGTGAGATATTTTCAACTTTGAATCATAGATTAAGCTTTCATGACATAGACAAATGCACCAGATAAAAAATAAAAGTATACATTTTCTCTGACAATCTGTCATGCATTAATTAATTTAATTTAAGGGCTTTAGTTTCACGGTCCTGGTGTTGTGCCTGCTGGTTCACCGTCACACTTACTTACTGTGCCACTTAAGTACAAGGGAGCCATTGTTAATGTCTGTAGGATGCTTCTCCTACTATGTCAAAATGTCTGTTGTGAAAAAGGCCTAAAACAGGTGATCTATTTATGTAATCATTCCACTGCGATGCTGGGGAAAAAATGCTAATTTTTGTCTTGATTTATTACAGAACCCATTGAAGAAACAGCGGGGCCACTTTTCCAGGCTTAAACATTTCAGTAGGTACAACTTTGTTGGAAATGTGACTCTACCTTTATTTACCCATAATTTGATAGTGACTGTAATCTTTGTCATGGCCTTTACAGCCTCAACTTAATCTGGAAACAGATGTGACAGAACCAAGGAGTGACTGGTTCAGACCTGGACGGAGCAACCTCTATGCAGAGAGCTATATACTCTGACTGCAGGTCAGGGTATCTCTTCCCCAGAATAGGATGATTTTAATTTATTGTGACTGTTGGGTGAAGAGATGTGCTCAGTTCTCTCACTCAGTGTAGACCCGACAGTGACTACAGGAGCAACTCTTTCACCTCTGTAGTAATAGTAACATTATATTAGTGGTATCATTCTCAGATATTGTGTGCCTTTACATTCCACTTAAATAATATCTACGTCTGGAAGACCTTCGTGGTTTAACTTTTTTTTTGATTCAGAAAAAAAAGACTACAGTCCTTTCTTCAGAGAGATGGGTGCTTTCCAAATCCTGTGTATTTTCTAGCAGGACTCCAATGAATGTAAGACAGCTACTGCTGCCTGCTGGGCTGTGATCTCCTGCCATTAAGTGGGGTTAGGCGGGGTCTGTCTGCCAGTCATTTACCACAACAGCCTGTTAAAGAAAAATCACATGTGAGTAAGATGTACTGTTGGCACATTAAGGCCATTTGAATGTAGCTACTTTTACAGTAGGTGAAATGTATTCTAGCCTTCTTCCCTGCCAGTACCTGCTCTTTTAGTTGCCTGGTATAGTGAAAAAATCGTTTGATTAACTGTACTCATTCACTGTTACTTATGACAACAAAACAAAGACCCTTTATTGCAGGTTATTACAATATTGTCTTGTCTGTTGTAATGTTACTCGATTTTAGCTGGATTTTTCCTCTACCACAACCCCAGAATTCCCTCGTTACTGTCGCAGTGTTGTAGGACGGGACAGAACACTAGACACACAATCCCAAACTGCTAACATGTGGGAATGTTACAAGTAATGTACTGTAGTGAAGAAAATGACAACTACAGTGTTTTGGTGGAGCTACACAATCCCTATGCGTATTAACTTTGACCTGTTGAATCGTCTTAGATCTCAAGAAATATGTGGAGATATGAGATGTCTGTTTATAATTTTGTGGCCATTGAAACCAGTGAGAACTATGGTGGCCAAGGTTGTTTTCCATTTATTTTTTTAGTTCAGGATGCTTTCTATCTTGATCATCAGTTACTGATGTTTTCTGTGTGGTTGACAATGTTTCAGGTCATATTTTGGATCTGTCTACTTGTGGGTAAAATGCTTGCCCTTTGACAGCAGAATTAGGGAATTACTTAACACACAGATACTTCCTTTTTTCTTTAAGTTTTAATATTATTTATTTTTAAATATCTTGTGTCGTTTTGCATCAATTGCGAGTGACAAGCACAATTTTAAAGGGACTCCAGTGAAGATTTTTGTTAAACTTCCACCAGGCCAGCTAATGATGATACTGAGCAATAACTAACAATTTCCGCATATTTCTCTTGCATTCTATTTCTAATTGTATATACTGTACATGCACTGGCTTCTTGTATGTAATGCAATCGTATCAACTGCTTTGTGTACCAAATGTATTTTCACAATAAAACTGACAACTTCCAATAAATGCAAGTCTTGTTGATATGCAAACTGCAAAGACGGTTCCATTTTCTGCTAGGTAACATTTATCTGAATAATATGACATAAGTCATGGGTTACAGTATTAAATGCCATGAAAACAGCAGAAAAATCTCTTTAAAAAATTCAAAAACAGTAGATGGTACGATAACAATCTTGTATATATCAAAAAAAAATAACATAATGGTATGTCATAAAAAAGTAATAACTCTTGTCAAGTCACAAAATGCCTTAGAAAAGTCATAGTATAGCGTGTCGAAAAAAAGGCAAAAACAGTCATGGTATAGCATGTTGAAAAAGGCAAAAACAGTCATGGTATAGCGTGTCGAAAAAAGGCAAAAACAGTCATGGTATAGCGTGTCGAAAAAGGCAAAAACAGTCATAGTATAGCGTGTCAAAAAAAGGCAAAAACAGTCATAGTATAGCGTGTCGAAAAAAGGCAAA